GCTAGGTTTACAGTCATGGAGTCTGAGTTTAGTAGAGTCTCACGGATCGGCATGACGGAGACGCTGTATTATCCTAGGAGGCTGCAGATGTGAAGTTTTTCACTAAGGTTCTGCAGCCCTAGCTCCCCCCCATAGGATAAATACAGACGTCTCATACCATCCGCGAGACTCTACTAAACCGGCTCATGACTCGCGAGACCTATGTAACCTAAGGCTCTGATTACCAACTTGTCCACGACCCCAACTCCCCCCGGTCCTGATGGCGGCTATCACAGACTAGGCAACCAACCTAACATTTACATAACAAACTCTTTTTAGATAAAATTAGTTTCTTAATATCAAATAAGTTTCAATTCATCAGATGAAATAGATAAATAAACCAGAATCATGTGGAACAACAGTAATGTTAACCCAACACAGCCCAACCATCTTGGTGGTCACTTAGTCAAGAAGCTTCTAAGATTATACCCAAATCTGACTGAATAAGTCAACAAACATAAGTCGGAATATGATAGAAATACTAAGATAGGAAGGAGGAAAGGCAGGCCTGCGAATGTTCGTGCAGCTACCTTCCTACTCCCATTTCTACACTCTTACAAAATGCTGGGAACTCTCATGTCCGACTACCTCGGCGCACTTGGATCTGCACACATGGTGCGGGGGTAATGTGAGTACGCCACCCCGCAGTAAGTAACGTAAAGTAAATAAGGTCTAGTTGTAGTGACGTACGCATTTACAAGATGCATATCATGAAATCAGGAACAGAAACATCAAGTAGAAACTGCATTTTTGAATCCAGCTCTTTGAAATCATTTATTCGATCATATTTTCAAAAGAGTTTAGTATAAAGCCCCCCGCGCCGGAGATGAAACAATTATTGTCATAAAACAAGCCTCGTGCAAAGTAATCACTCAACAGTAAAGCCACCTCGAGCAAAGTATACTCAAGTAAAGCCCTCTGGGCAAGTCTCTCAGTCATCTGACTTCTCTCTCGTCGCTCAGTACACACTCTCAGCACTCAGGCTCAATAAGATAGTCTTCAGAATAGTAATATAGTAATAATTATCTGCGGCATGTAGCCCATTTCCCCAATATATGAAATAATAACCGTGCGGCGTGTAAGCCGATCCAAGTATATAGTCGACTAGCTCACTGGAGGTGAGCAGACTCTGGAGGGCTCCTACAGACCCAAACTCATATCGCTGCGGCGCCAGCCGATCCATTATATATATAATGGTGCCGGCGTGCAGCCCTGATCCATATAGTATTGCTTACGGCGTCAGCCCAATCCTTAAAGTATACAATAATATTGCTTGCGGCTGTAGCCCGATCCATAATATATATATAATCGTCATGATGAGGTCCTCAACCTCTCCTCAGTCATTAACGCTCAAGCACTCGGGCATAACAGTGGAAATCAGGGACTCAGCCGAAACAGTTTTGCACATTTAAGAAGTAGAGCGGTAAAAACTAGGTTTAATTAATAAAAGGTAAAACATGGACTAAGGATATGCTTTCATCAAAATAGAGTGAGGAAATAGTAAAAATGCCCTAAGGGTCTCAACAAGGTCGGACAAGGCCGCCAAACATGGCCATAACATCCCATAATATAGTATCGAATCTATAAAATACGTGATATTCATAAGATTCAAATCAAAATATGCGTGTTAATAGTCGTATGGGACGGACCAAGTACAATCCCTACCGGGCAGCGCCCACACGCTCGTCACCTAGCATGTGCGTCAGCATCATTCATCAAAGCAGTTACAAGATACCGGGGTTTTTACCTTAGTCCAGATTTACAAATGGTACTTACCTCAAACCGGAGAATACTACTACCTTCGCGATGCCTTTTCCTCTCGGCCTCGGCCTCAACTCATCGTCGAATCTACTCAAAATCAGAATCATAACATTAGAATATGCTAGGGGAACGAAATGAAGCCATGCAAAAATAACAAATTAAACTCAAAATCCGAAATTAGCTCAAACCCGGCCCGGACCCACATCTCGAATTCGAATAAAATTACAAAACTAGAAAACCCATTCGCTCATGAGTATACCATATCAAATTCACCAAATCCGACATCATGGTCATCCAAATCCTCAAAATCAACTCTCAAATTTCTTCCCTTTCCCAATTTTAACCCCAAATTCCCAAATTAAATGATAAGAATCAAGACATAATCATGGTATTTAACCAATTTTGAGTAATAACACTTACCCAATCAATCCCTCTGAAAATCCCTTCAAAAATCGCCTCAACCTCTAGTATAATGGTCATAACTTTTTGTACCTAACTCCAAATTAAAATTGGTTTAAACTTCTGAAAACTAGACATCAAGGGATACAACTTTTATTTTTGGATCATCTTCAACTTCCTTATAGATTGTGAGATATACGCTTCCAAAGTCGGGTCAGTGCAGCAAAATTTACTCTATGCGATCACGTGAAGACTTACGCAATCGCGTAGCACAGTTCCATTTTTTCCAAATTTTCTCTATGCTAACATGGCCAGATCTATGCTAACGCACTGTACACCCCTGAAGCCAAAAACCACCAACTAGAAATAGCCTAGAAATTGTCCGAAACCACCCCGAAACTCACCCGAGGCCCTCGGGAACTCAACCAAACATGCCAACACATCCCATAATATCATTCAAACTTGCTCCAACCTTCAGAACCCTCAAAACAACATCAAAACATCGAATCACCCTTGGATTCAAGCCTGAGAATTCCAAAACTTTTTGAATTTTGAATTTGATTAAAAAGTCTATCAAACCTCGTCCGATTGACCTGAAATTTTGCACACACGTCACAAATGACACAACGGACCTACTTCACTTTCCGGAATTCCATTTCGACCCCGATATCAAAATTGCCACTGCCGACCGGAAAATGCCAAATTTTCAATTTCGCCAATCAAGCCTAAATCTACCACGGACCGCCAAAATACATTCCGGACACGCTCCCACGTCCAAATCATAAAAATCATAAAAATCCAAATCCGAGATCGAATACTAAAAATTCAAAACCTGGTCAAACCTTTCAAATTTAAAGCTTCAAACTGAGAATTGTTCTTCCAAATCTATTCCTATTATCCTGAAAACCAAAACCGACGATTTACATAAGTCATAATACAGCACACGGGGCTAGTCATGCCCGAGAACTGGCGAGCGAAATGCAAAAACTGAAAACGATCGGTCGGGTCATTACACAACCTCATTTCCTTCTCTGAAACAACGTTTAATTTTGATGCCAAATTGATGCACTTTGTCTTGTATCTGGAATTTTGAACTTTCCCAAAGTCATGTTGACCACCAGTAGTGAATCTAACTCTAAAGTTAGATTAGAACAGTTGTGATTGCAACACCAAGGGATACCTTTTAGGGTAGCTTGAACCTCTGAGTTATTGTTAGTTAAGAATTGGAGTAGAGAGGCAAACACCATGACCATGTATCAATTTCTTTTACTATAAAGAAATTTTTTTGTACTATAAATTCTCAAAACGGAAAAAGGTATCACTTTTCTTATGATAAAATACTATCTATCTTATAATAAATAAAACCTTATTTATAAACTCCCACATGCCATGTATATAATTTAAAAATTATCATAACCATATAAAATCGTATATATCAACTTTTACCGAAAATGATTTACTTCAAAGAAAATACATATCAAGCCAATATATAGTAGTTCTGAAATTCTTCAAACTTACAGGTCTTACATCCATATCTTTATGTATAATTAATCCCTTCCAACTCATATATATGAATTACTACGACTTATCCTAATATTAAAGTACGGGATGTAACACTAACAATACCACCAGCTCCTGCTTTGGCCTTGTTGACCATGAAGCTACCATCAGTGTTTAACTTCCATGTATCTCTTTCAGGTATTTCCAGATAACCAACGAACTTTTAAGTCTTGGTCTATAGTGTCACACCTCCTTTTACACACCCACCCCGAAGGAGAATGTATAAGGGAGTTTTTCCATTTAAAGTGATATTATTCGAAATGGGATCATTTATTTATTTTTAGAGTCGCCACTTGGGATAGGATTGGTTTTTGGTGTCCCAAGTCACCGATTTAATTTAAATCCCAAATCGAGGAAAATTTCGACTTCCCAATTGGAGTCTGCGAACCAGAAATTCTGTGTAAGGAATTCTGTTGACCCGAGGGAAGGTGTTAGGCACCCCCGGATCCCATGGTTCTAGCACGGTCGCTTAAATTATTATAAATGGCTAAACATCTGGTTTTATACACATTCCCACCTATAATGCAATTTTTGAGATTATTTACCGCTTTCAGTTGATTTTTAGGAAAGTGAACGTCATTTTAAGAACGTGTTTTTGGATCACGTCACATGAAATGCACCCGGATCCTCGACATATTCTTATTCAACGTTTTGGGATTTGGATTTGGGTTGCATGAAATGCACACCCGTATTTAGGAAGGTAAAATTATTAAAAGCGCGCCTAAAGCGACTAACGAGTTATTATCTTTGCGGGAGCCCATGAAATTCGCTAAACGGCACGCCCCAAATTCTAAGTATTTTAATTAAGCATTCAATGAGGGCCCCACAATTTATGTCTTTGTTTGGCGAGGCTCATCTCACTTATTATTTAAGGCCAACCTAAGCAAACTCGATTTTCTATTTATTTTTTGTCTCTAAAAGGGTCTAATTAATATACATCTATAAGTTCGGGTCTCGGGTTCAAGTCCGAATTCAAACAAAAGGGGAAACCCTCCTAATTTGAACCCGCTACTTAACTCGAGAACCTAAATTTCTATTTGCAAATCAATCCCCATATTCCTAATATAGTTTAAAGGATTTTTGGACTTAACAATTTTAGGCCTTGAACGTTAGCCCAGGGTTTGGTGAATGCTGCTGTGTTTTATTTAGAGCTGGCCCAACTTTGGGCTTCTGATATTGCCCTTGGGCCCAGGCTCAACATTATACTGCCTAGGCCTTGAAATGATTGAATTAAAAGGACAATGGGCCTGGCTATTTTCCGCTGGGCCTGCGTTGAGCCCAGTCTTTACAGTCCAGCTAACATGAGCCGAAGCTCAAT